GAATCCTAACCATGGCTGCTGAAAAACTAAGCTGTACACTGTTGTGCACTATTCTTCAAATTATATACTCTGACTTGTCTAATATGATATACATCCTTTTGCTGTCCATGAAAATCAACAAGACATGTATCATTGCAGCTTTTCTAAAAATAATTTCATCATAATTTGTTTTTCTTGAAATGCAAGTCTGGCCATCTGCATAAGTGTAAGAAAACATTCTCTCACTACACAAAAGAATAATTTATTATCAACACCCATCACTTTGCTCCCACAAGACAATAATCTCACTCCAGTACTCTATCTGCCTTTACATTTTCACAGTTCTCCCCTGCAAATTATAATTCATATGGCCTCAATCCACCTTGCGACATGCATACAATGAAGTTCAATCACATGCTGCCATTTTGAAATAGAATCTTGTGTCTCAAAACCTAGTGAGCTGTTTCAATATCTAATGCCTATGGGCAGCTGTCTATATAAACAGCATTGACTGACATGAAATTTCATAGTTGAGTGATTTGAGGAGCAGTAACCTTATGCGACTCATAGTTGAATGGTAAAATTATACATATACATATTTTAAACCATACTGTATATAACTACTTCCCATCAGTAAATCTTTCTGTTATCTTTAATATCTGAATGACTTCTGCTTAACCAGTGATGACATGAAATGGAGAACAAAAAAAATCTTCAGAAGAGATCTCAGTAGTGTTTGAAATTGCTCACAGATCAAATTATCTGAGATATTATGCATAATTCTCTATGTGTCCATTTTTATTTATCCTAAAGGATTTTAAGAAAAAATATTTTAGACAAAGTTGGTACTACAATAAAAATAACAGAACTCTGTGAGCAATACAATTTTCCTCTGGGTTGGCTCTATCCAACACATATATAAAAAAAATCATTGCTTGTTGCAACGCACGGCAAAATTACATCATTCATGAAGGAAATGTGATATTCCCAAACATTTTGGCCAAAATTAGGTATCTTAGGAGGTAGAATAATTTCACTACCTACAATTTCAGGCAGCTTTTGCTTAGGGAGTTCAAAATACACTGTAGTCCTATAATTCCAGCCCAGACTCATTTCCTGTGGCAACATTTCTGCAAAATTATATTTTCACTTCTTGCATGTCACTTCTTGCTGCACTTTAAAAGTGAAATGTCCAGTAAGTGATGATAGAAGTGTGCCTGGCAACGTTTTATTAATTTGGCTGTTGTACATATCGCGACAATGTCCAGTGAGTGGAACTGAAAGGTTAATATTCTGTTACTTTCGAAAATAATGTAATACCCACATATATTGTTAACAAAAGCAAACATGAGACAATAGATTTTAGCTTGCTTCTACCAGTCATTGATCTGTTTTATCGTGACTTGTGTTTCACGGGGCCGACCTGCAAGTGCAATGCTGTACCAGGTGGGCTACCGAGCAAGTTTACTACATTAAAAAATGTGTACATATTAGGAATGTGCGATAACGACTAATTTCAAAGTTGTTTAAATGGAAATTTTGTAACCAACTGGTCGACTAAGTAAGAAACCCTTAGAAGACATTGTGATTATGCGATCCATTTGGAATACTTAATCTATTAATCAAACAGTCAACTAATTCCAGACACCTTATTATTCGAGTTATTGAACTCTTATTTTCCATCAAAATGTTAAAATGTACAACATTGACAGACAGCAACAAAAGCATCAGATGTGCTGAATGAAAATGCAAATGCACTCTCTGACATTAGGTGGCGCTTTTGGACAAGCAGAAATACAGCGGTTACTATGGTTGCTCCTGTAAACAAAGCAGCAATACATTTTATAAGGCATTATATGGAGATAACATGAAAAAAAAAATGTCAACAAAATATTTCTGAAGAAAGTCAGTTCCCTTTCATTCATAATGTTTCCCCCTTTAAACCGGTAAATACTCTCCCACACCTTGCTCCTTGCTTCCAAGCGGACATTTCTGAGCAGGCACTGAGTGACACGAAGAAAACGCATGCATGCAAGGTCTGAGGCGAAATGAAATGAATTTTGTTATCCGCTCCAGATATTCACTTTTCAAAATATTTGATTTTTTTTTTTAAAGTTTAACATTAAAATGACTAAATTTAGACTAGTATTTCCAATGTTGACTAGCAGCAGCAGTTCCGTTTAGTCGACTAATCCGCTATTCTCGCACATCCCTAATACATATGGATCTTATGTGATGCAAACATCACAATGTATTAGTTTGCAAATCATGTGCTATAGTAAAAGCTTTTTGAGGTCATAACATAGTATCGTGCAGGGAACTGCATGAAAGTTATTTAATATTCAATAATCTGGCATTGTAATCATCATTTGTGTGATAAAGAATAAAAGTGGTGTTTTACTATCTCTAGTGTTCATTTCAGCTGGAAACTGCAGTGAATTGTATTTATAGGTACATTTTTAGAGGCACGTTTTTGTGTAATTCCCACTGAAATCCCAATAAAAATACCTCAGAAACTTATTGAGGTCTTCATGCTTCATGTATTCAAACACCATGATGAGAGGGTCGCCGTCCACGCACACGCCATAGAACTTCACAATGTGCTCGTGCTGCAGGTTGGTGAGGAGCTCGGCCTCCCTTTGAAAGTCTTTTCTGGCAGTCAGGGTCGGATCTTTGAGAGTCTGAGAAACAAAAAGCATGTTCACTCTAGGAGGTGTACAGATGAAAACAAATGGAGAGTGGGATGCCACGTTTTTACTGAAGTTGTCCTCTAGGCAAGGAGAAATGAGATGGAGGTTAAACTAATATGCCAAATTGCATTTCAGGACGTCTGCCATCAACTGAAAAGAGATGAAAATGTACAACAAAAGACCAGAGCATGACTTCTCAAAACGAAAGTGCTTCAGTGACACGACTTGCATAAACTGTGTCATGTTAATGGCTAAGTTAATTGAGGAGTTTTCAAATAAAACGATGAATACAAACAGTATACGTAATAAATCCAAATGTAATGTCTCATTTTGCTGCACATTATTTGGATTTTTATAAACCAGTCTAGCAGAGGTTGAATATTTCTGAATATTTGCAACATTGTCCAGTGGTGTTTGTAATTGTATTTCCTGACACAGCATAACAAAAACACAACCATTTAATGTTCCCAGGAACTCCAAAGTGCTTACTAGCCTTTTCGCTGTGAGTTCTGCTCCTACCAATTAAGCGATAACTTAGCCTGAATGGCACATGATGCAATTTGATTTTAATTACAGAATTACAGATCTCTCTGACACAAGCAGAGGGAGGCATCGACAGAGAATGGCGTATATGACACAGATGGTGAAGCGCTCATTTCCGTCGGGGGAAGTGTTAGTGCCATGCTACTCAACACAGTCCTGACGTGCATGCTGGCTTTCTGTTGCAGCATCCTGCAAGATATCCTCATGACACCAGAGTATTTTCACAGCATCTTCAGTTATCTTTATGATGTAATAGTTTCAATCGCTCTGGTGAGGCAGTATATTGGATTAGAGGAGGAAGTTCAGATGTGGAGAGCGCTGATGGTTAAATGATATTATTGGCCTTAAGATGTCGTTCTAGACCTGTTCTTAACTGGTTTTGCAAAAGGACCCATATTTTACATTGGACATCAAGTGGAGAACCAATATCTGGAGAGTGCTTTCCGATGGTTAAATTATGTTATTGGCCTTAAAAGTAGTTCTAGACCAGTTCTTAAATGGTTTTTCAAAAGGACCCATATTTTATGCTAGAGACAAAAATTGTTTATCATTCAAAAATAAAGATTTTGTTTTCTGGTTCATTCTTTGGACACAAAACACACAATCCATGTTTATCCTTGTCACTACACACACACACACACACACGTATATATACATACATACATACATATACAGTATGTATATATATATATATATGTGTGTGTGTGTGTGTGTGTGTATGTACGTATGTATATAAAACCAGTAGAAACACAAAACTGCAGTTTGACAAGATCAACAAGATATAGATGCGCACAGGATTATTAAACTAATATATATATATATATATATATATATATATATATAAAGAATATATACTACAAATGAAAAAAAAACAACAGAAAATAAAAAATAAAAACTAATTCAAAATATGAATAAAAAACTATAATAGCATCTGAGTGATACCAAGTAGCCAAGGCAACATTTCTAATCCAGTTTAAGATTTTAATTTAATATTTATATATTATTTTAGCTTTATTTAAAGTAATGTTGTTGTACAGTAAAAGCTCTGTCAGTGAATCTCATCAACTTCCATAATATATGATCATACAATGACGAGAGAGGTCCAGGCATACAATTATCCAAATATACAATTTTCTGGTTCATTCTTTGGACACAAAACACACAATCCATGTTTATCCTTGTCACTACACACACACACACACACACGTATATATACATACATACATACATATACAGTATGTATATATATATATATATGTGTGTGTGTGTGTGTGTGTGTATGTACGTATGTATATAAAACCAGTAGAAACACAAAACTGCAGTTTGACAAGATCAACAAGATTTCTAACTATTGGAACTGGATTGTGAAAAGTTGGTGTAACAAAACCTAGTTGAAAGTAAAGCCTAAAAAGAAAAAACAAGTTTTACATTTTGACCCAAACTTCTTTAGATTGTGTGAAATGAGAGCAGGAAATTTAATTTCATAATGCACATTCCTGGTAATGGCATGGAGTGCACAGAAGAAATGCATCTATTCTGAGAAAAGTCAGAGCAAAGCAAAGCCATGTGCTTTTAACTGCAAAAAACATGCCTTACCTTCGCAGCCACCAGCATCTTATCTTTGGTGGGGCTGAGGTTGTAACATTCAGCCAGAAACACCTTCCCAAAAGCTCCCTCACCCAGCTCCCTCTTCAGAACAATGTCCCTCCGTTTAATATGCTGCACATCTGAAAGAGAAATATAGAAAGAGAAAACCATAACGTTATTAAATTTGTGTTTTGTATGTCAAGGTCATGAGTTCACAATGGTGCAGTAAAATGAGACTGGATTGTAAAAGGATACTGCTGTGTTGTTTTTATAATTATATTATTGAACTATTATTGTATTTATTAATATTTTGAATTAGCTTTAATATTTTCAGTTTCAATAAAATTTTTAGTTGAAGTAAATGTGTTTGAAATTTTAGTACTTCTTAAACTTGCTTTCATTTCAGTTAGTTGCCCACAGGATTATTACATACAATGACGAGAGAGGTCCAGGCATACAATTATCCAAATATACAATTATCCGTACATTTCTGCCATATGTACATTAACTGACAGTCACCACTGATAAGCTACCACTAAATATTGTAGAAATTTAATTTGCTGTAAGGTTGCTTTGCATTGTGCGATTTGTATTGTGAAAAGCACTATACAAATAAACTTGAATTGAAAATTGAATTGAATTGAAATAATATCATCATAAGAGACAATGTCGCTCAGGAACAGGTGGCAAAAATGAGTGCGGAAACCCGAGCCAAATTAAATATGAGTGACAGGTTATCTGTATGCACCCGTTGTGCATGATGTGTTTATGCATACTTGTACAAGTGTAAATAAAGGCTTCAATCGTGAGTTGTTCGCATTGTGTAAAAGGTCAGTTCCCATGCAGATGGTGTTCTAGAATTGTTGCTCACAGTTACAGCTGGATGTTTGCTGCGTGTTTTTTGTCTCCTCTTGAGTTCTCTTTTTCAAAACAGAACGAGTGTGATGCAAATGAGTCAATTGTAAAAGGAAATTGCATTACTAGATGAGTATTGTAATGCATTCAAATGTGGCATACAATAAATGTGGTTTTATAATTAGTTATTATGAAAAAGATATGATGCATTACAATGTGGATTATGAATATTTTTATAAAACACATGTGACCCTGGACCACAAAACCAGTGTACATTTTTCAAAATTATACATCATCTGAAAGCTGAATAAATAAGCTTTCCATTGATGTATGGTTTATTCATATTTGGTCGAGATACAACTATTTGAATATCTGGAATCTGATGGTGCAAAAAAAATCGAAATATTGAGAAAATCGCCTTTAAAGTTATCCAAATGAAGTTCTTATGCATATTACTAATCAAAAATAAAGTTTTGATATGTTTACGGTAGGAAATTTACAAAATATCTTCATGGAACATGATCTTTACTTAATATCCTAATGATTTTTGGCATAAAAGAAAAATCTATAATTTTGACCCATACAATGTATTTTTGGCTATTGCTACAAATATTCCCAAGCGATTTAAGACTGGTTTTGTGCTCCAGGGTCACATATAGTGTTTTCAAGTTATTATTTATATTTAATTTGTTGACAATATTTATAATCCACATTGTAATGAATCATATATTTTTTTGTATGATAACTGTAATTATAAAACCACATTTATTGTTGCCCTTATGGCAAGACGTTATACTGAAATTTTTTTTGCATCAAGCTCTATTTGATTGACAGTCAATAAATTGAATATTTTAATAAACACTTAACTTGAAACCAGTACGTGCTTCATAAAAGTATACAAACTGTCAATAAAACAGCAAGATTATATTCAGTATGACACTTGAGCCACTGACAGACATCCAGTATCAAGTGCTACAATCATCATTGACTCTCAGAGACTCAAGCAGCAGGGATCTAGTGGATTGAAGCAGGATCAGGTCAAGTCTGGAGCACCTTCCCATCCCCCAACACCTCATTTATATTCACTTGTTCTTCCATTAAGTGGTCCACTGGGGTTGTCCCGTCCTCTGAGTGAACAATTACATGTGCACCTGCCGTAAGAGTCTGGGATGGGTTAGCTTAACCTTCAGCTTCCCACCCGACCGGTAAAGCCCGGCTCCCTCCGCTGCCTATTTACCACAATCCATTTGTGGAAAGACTCTGAATGAGAAAGGCACTATCCCAAGACTCATTGCCATTTATTTATTCCTCACCCTGACTGAACCTGTATCAGCCCCTGAAGGCTGAAATTAGGAGAGCACACAGGCAGGTGCGTTTGTGGCAGCAAAAATCTATGATTAAAAATAATGCTGTTCATTCTTATTAAAGCAATCAAAATTTCTCAGTTAAAAGGAATTCAATTCATCACTTTAAAATGCTAAACAAACAAGCTTATTCTGAAAGCATCACTATGGTGTTATAACAATGAACACACATGACTGCCCACATTTACATATTCAACAATTTGGAATGTCCTGATGAAGAGAGAAATAGGCCAGTTCGTAGAGGTTAACCGAATGAGAACAGGGTTGTACACTATTCAGAACTGAATTGAATGCCATTTGAATTATAATTTAATATCCTGAATTTTAATTGAAGAAAAAAAAGTAAGGAAGTAGAATTAATATGAACTGAAATTCAAACAAATTCACAAATGTCATGTTCAACTAGAAAATGAATGTATAATTAAAATTTGAATTTGAGGAAGTAGAATTAAAATTCAATGAAATTCAAAGAAATTCACAAATGCAGTAAGTGTAATTTTCAGCTAGAAAAGGAATGTATGAATAAAAAAATTAAATGCTAACTTGAATTTAAGAAAGTATAATTAAACTGAACTGAAATCCAAAGAATTTCACAAATGTAATAAGTGTATAAATGAATGTACAAATAATGTGAATTTTTCAATTTAAGACAGTATAATTAAAATGAACTGAAATTCACAAATGCAATGTTTAATTTTCAACTAGAAAAGAAATGTGTAAATAAAATGCAAACTAGAATTAAAATGAACTGAAATTCAAAGAAATTCACAAATGCAATTTCAATTTCCAACTAGAAGAGTTGTTTAAATAAAAAAAATATATACAATTCTCAAAAAGTAATCAGGATGCTAGCCTTTTTCAGAAAATGATTTCCTCCCAAAATACCTCCAGTATTCACAAATATGGCTGATCAGTTGTTATCAAGCACCTGGTTTGTGTCGGTGTCCACCTTCACTGAGATGGTTTGATGAGATGGTAGTTCAGTTATGAGCACTAACAATAGATGGATTGAATCAGAATCTTTGTGAAGGTGTGCACGTTCAGAGCTCCATTAAACCTGGCCTGCATTAATTTACAATGCCCTTTTTCTGAGCGCATGCCTTTGTCTTCTCACTCTCAAGCCTGATAAATTCAGCTTGTCATTAAATGTTACCTTGAAACAATGCAATCAAAGTAATTGTGTCCAGAACAATGAAGGTGTACGCAGGAGACATCAGCATGGATATATCTTCTCTAAACGTCCTGAGCAGTTCAATGTGAACAGGACACAAAACGGTCACTGCTGAATACAAATATCAGCAGTCACTGTCACTAATCTGACAAAGTGGGAGAAATGAACGGATACTGCAGGAGTATGATAAAACAACTGCTCTTCTCAACTGTACCTTTAAGACGGGTTGTTTAAAATGGAAAGTCATTGTTTTCATTCTTGCATACAGTATATAATTGCAGTCTAATGTGTTTTTAAATATCGAATAGAGACATTATATGACAAAGGCATCCAAAAACAGTAATATTTAAAAATATATATATTTTAGAATTTAAAATAACTGTTGTCTATTTGAAAATATTTGAAAATGTAATTTATTCCCCTGATGCAAAGCAGAATTTTCAGCATCATTTCTCCAGTCTTCAGTGTCACATGATCCTTCAGAAATCATTCTAATATCCTGATTTGGTGCTCAATTATTAATAAGATTTCTTATAATTATCAGTGTTGAAAATAGTGTTAGAATTGTGAGCATAAGAGACTTAAAGGTGCCAAAGAATGCATTTATACAGTATTTTAAATTGTTCTCTGATATCTACATAGAAGGTATGTGGCTTAGGTAACGGCAAAAAATCTCCAGAAACGGTTTTACATGTCCATTTACAAACCTAGGATTTGTCCCTAGAATGAAATGGCCTGTAACGTCTGTAACTGTGTTATGTTCTGATTCGCCTATTTTTCAGTGGTCTTTTGCATGCTCGAGATTTACATAAGAAGGAGGAAACAATGGTGTTTGAGGCTCACTGTATGTCATTTCCATGTACAGAACAGTTATTATTCAACTATGCCAAGGTAAATACAGTTTTCCATTCTAGGGGCGCCTTTAATTAAAAAAAAGGTAAATAAAAAAAAAAGATTTATTCTGAATTATTTATTTTTATTGATCATTGATGACATTTTATTTTATTCAAGGGACATAATCTGATAAATGTGGCAAACGCAGCACTGCTCAAAATCATCCATATTTGCAATGCACAGTCCGGATCTTGTATTTATAGCCTTTGTACTCACAGATCATTGATGACATTTTGTTTAAATTCAAGGGACATAATCTGACAATCTGATAAATGTGGCAAACGCAGCACTGCTCAAAATCATCCATATTTGCAATGCACAGTCAGGATCTTGTATTTATAGCCTTTGTACTCACAGGAGCTCATTGTAGATGCTAGTGCACTCACTTCCTCTAGGAATACTGCTATATCTGAATAATGATCTTCAGTCTATTGCACGTGATCCAGCCGCTGTATTTCCCATGACTTATGCCAAAAATCCCAGCTGCAAATATTTCATGATTAATAATTTAAGAAATTAAAGGGCCATCTCACGGAAAACATAATTTCCCTTGCTCTTCTGAAATAAATGTGTTATGTTAACATAGTCTTGTTTCGTGATGGCAAAATGCAAAGTGAAGGAATGTCTTTAACAATTTAGGCAGTTTAGACTGTTCTCCTAAAACAGATCTGTGACACAAAGCAAATTCATGTCGCCATGTAAAAACAAGGCGCTAGAGATTATTCTTGGATCTAGGTAAAGCAAAACTCTAGTTGAAGTGACTTGTGGCCAAGTATGGTGACCCATACTCGGAATTAGTGCTCTGCATTTGTCCCATCCAAAGTGCACACACACAGCAATGAACACACACACACACCGTGAACACACACCCAGAGCAGTGGGCAGCCATTTTTTGCTGCGGCACCTGGGTAGCAGTTGGGGGTTCGGTGCCTTGCTCAAGAGCACCTCAGTCGTGGTATTGAAGGTGGGAGAGAGCGATGTACATTCACTCCCCCCACCTACAATCCCTGCCGGTACGAGACTCGAACCCGCAACCTTTGGGTTACGAGTCTGACTCACTAACCATTAGGCCACGACTTCCCACTAGTTTGTGTTAGTTAGTTGGAGCTAACCAACGGAGATGCTGTGTAGTTCAGGCATGAACTCACCTTGGGTTGAAAAGGAAAGTAAATGCAGCACAACTCAATTGTAATCGCAGAATAGCTTGTGTGAGTCAGTCATCTTATGGATTCCTGAAAAGTCAGCATGTTATGGCTCAAGGGACTCGCTTAGTTGAAACTGTGCAACAGCTTCCTGTTATACAAAAATACACCTACTGCAGCAGTCTACAGATAAAACGGTAATCAAAGTTTTATTTTTATTTGTCAAAATTCCTGTAGAAATTACACTCTTACAGGGAAATTTCACATTTAGCATATTTCATATTTAGCATAAAAATTAAGTCTATTTTAGGATCAAATATTTTTTTTCTTGCATTGTGACATTCATGACAATTAAAGCCATTTTTCCACAAATGACCATAATGCGTCCAGATTTTACTTATAAGTTCCCATTATTCCCATTATTCGATTCTCATTAATGTATTACAAGTAGGGGTGTAACGGTACACGTATTCGTACCGAACCGTTTCGGTACGGGTCTTTCGGTTCGGTACGCATGTGTACCGCACGAATACAGTTTTTGTTTTTTGTTTTTTTTCTCCGGAAATTCAAATAATAAATGGCGTTTTGACAGTCTTTGATGTGGCATGACAGATCGCTGTATAAACGCCTTGGAGAGCCGCTTCTGGGACGGTTCAGAAACGTGCTGGTATATAATCCCAACACAAGCATTGACTAGAGCGGACGCGATCAGCTCCGGTTCCCGTGTCTGAGCCGTGACGCCCCGCAGATCTGTGCAGAGCGGAGCACGAGTGAACGCGGTCATTCCTTCCTCTGTACTACTAGTTTTAACGCGAATAAACATGACTGAACATCTCATGCCTCATGTAATTGCTCAATCAGTGTTTCAACCGCGGAAAGACATCAACAATACAGCGTGGAAATAAAATGTCAGGTAGCATTTAATTTACCTCAGCAAGTCATCAGTGTCCACAGCTCGTTAGTTCACTAGAGAAATGAAGTCTAGAGAGGAGCATTTTGCGAAATATTACACCATATACTCATTATATTTTACTAAACCTGTTAGTCTTAATTATTTAATGTACAGTATGTTTAAATTAATCTGTTATGAAACATGCTATGACAGCCATTGTGTAATTGAATATATTTTAACAAATAGCTTAGAAATTTTATTATTTATAAATTAATTTAAAAACTGCATTATGTGCAGTTTACATGTTTGCACACAATTGTTTATTTATTTATTTTTTAAAGTTGAGTGTTGATCATCTATTTAAAAATAAATAGTAATTAAATTTAAGTTTGGGTTAAGTTGTTAGGCCTAATTGTAACCTTATAATGTAAAAGGGCTCCCTATAGTTTTAAGCATAAGCTGAGGTAGATTTTTATCACTAAGAACATTTAAACTATAACTGAATGTATTTAAAGAAAGAGCAACTTGTTCAGTAAACCATTAAAAAAAAAGAAAAAGTTTTTCCCCCTGCTGTACCGAAATCACACCGAACCGTGACATTAAAACCGAGGTACGTACCGAACCGTCATATTTGTGTACCGTTACACCCCTAATTACAAGTAAAGAAAGTTTAAGGAATAATTTGAAGGGAACACAATGTCAATATGTTATCTAAATGTCGATGTCAAAATCAAAAGCTTAAGGCTAGAATAGCTCTGCTCCCAAACACTTGAATATGGAAGTAACTGAAAAAAACAAAAAAAAACAGTATTTTTGTATTGTTTTCCAGTGTAAATGTCTAAACATTCTTAAAATCAAGATACATTTTCTGTAGATGCAAAAGTGACATATGAAGTCTTGTTTTATGAGAAATTGATAAAAATGAAGTGAGTTTATGAATAAAACAAGAACTAATACCTACTTAATTCGACTGACAGGTCTGTTCTTGTTTTAAGCATAAACTTAATTTCGTTCAGTTTCTCAGAAAACAAATTCATATCTTTCCTTCCAAAGTAAATGTATCTTGATTTAAGGTTGTGTATATTTGAATTGGAAAACAAACAAAAATACTGAGGAAGATATTCATTTTTATTTTTTTTTTGCAGTGCATGCAACATTTAATGCCGTGACTTTATGAATTTAAGGCTTTCTGCTCTGATTTAAAGACTTTTAAGACCCGCAGAAACCCTGCTATAGTGAAAATGTGATATAAATCACAATGAAAAATCCACAATCACAGTCCTAAAAATAGGTTTGATCTTATTCATGCTATACATATTATTTCTTCATTTTGATTTGGGGATGAAATATGACGTACTTGTAATATGTATTTGTAAGTTTTGTAAGATCTGCCCTGTAATGCACATCCTCTAAGCTGAAGTATGCATGTTCTATTCTTTATGGATTTGGATTGTGATTAGATATCTAAAACTGTAAACTGTTAACTGGGTGAAACTGGTTTGATATCCATCCCACACTCCTCACTAGTTTGTTCTATCTATAAAAAAATCATGAGCTGAACCTTGGACCATTTTTATAAGGTGTATCTTTATATAAATGATTCAGCTTACTACAGCTAGCACATAAAGTGCTTTCTAGTAGCCCAGAACCTGAGAAGTAAAAAATATACCCTATCTTAAGCAGATAACTGCCATTTAAACATCACACACTCATCAGATGTGGGCACACCATGATGGTTATGTATCTACAGCCATAAAGATTTTATGCCATCCATTATGCATAAAGAGTTAATTTATTCATGAGGGCAAAATGTGATTGTCCTTTGCCTTTGGATTCCTTTTCATAGCTATCAGTGCACCCTGTGAATAGACCACTCTTTTGTGCCTGGAATATAAATAGACTGTGTGTGTTGATGTGTGCAAGTCTGTGTCTCCATATATACCATACTATGTGCTATAAAAAAAATCAGGGCCCCTTTTAGCCTCTAAAACTGGCTAACGAAAATACTTCTGGGCAGGAGCTCTACATTTACATTCCTGGCCATTTATACTAAACAATGGAGTTGGCATCTGTTCCCATGCACTCTGCAATAAGTGCAAGCTACGGGTATCCAAAAGTCATCTATTTTTAACACTATTGTGCTTATTAACACTATATCTTCATAGTGACCCATATCCTGCACTATATAATGAGGATATACTGCAGGCTAGTTAAAAGGACAAGCGTAGTGACTTTCATAAACACAGGAATTATTTCCATCACCATTAAAAATATTCATTCTGAAATATGTGATTATGTGGCCATGAGGAAGTATTTTATTTTGTATTATGTAAAATTGATTTAGTTTTATTAAACATGTTGTCACTCAAAAATGTAGGTTGACCATGCATTTGCATACTGTACAAAATTAAAATTAATTAAAAATCAGAAAAAAAAGCAAGCTACATAAGCGGATCAAATTCATGCAGCTGCCCTTTGATTTGTTTTTTTGTTTTAGTTTTTTGGATTGTATTTTATCCTTTAGGAATTAGATTTTGAAAAGTAGGCATTCAAAACCACAACTGAAATAATTGTGCAGATGAATCATTACATACAGGAACAGTATTAATATACACTACTGTTCAAAAGTTTGGGGTCGGTAAGATTTCTGTAATGTTATTGAATGAAGTCTCTTATGCTCACCAATGCTATTCTAATATTTTAAAATGTAAAATATGTACATTTGAATGAATTTTCAGCATCATTACTCCAGTCTTCAGTGTCACATGATCCTTCAGAAATCATTCTAATATGCTGATTTAGTGCTGTAGAAAATTTCATATAATTGATGAAAACAGTTGTGCTGCTAAATATTTTTGTGGAAAATGTAATACATTTGAATAGTTCAAAAGAACATAATTTATTTGAAATATAAATCTTTTGGCCACGTACACACTGTAAAGTTTCAGGAGTGACAACCGCATTTAAATACGGGAGTGAATTCCCTAAATTACAGTTTTGTGTGTGTACGGAACAGAATTCACTTTTGAAATTGCTATGACTGATACCATAGTAACCATAGCAACGTTTTGGCATCTTCAGTGGTTGGTATCTGCAATTTTTGGAAATATTACAGTGACCAAAGACTCATTATGTTCGGAGATATTAATTAAACCATCGTCGACAGAGCCGTCATGTTGTGTTTACGTTTGGAATGTTGCTTGGCAGAGCACGCTCTTGAAGGGTTGCCATGTCCACTTATTATAAGCAACACTATTTAAGCATCTGCGGGTTTGTTGTTTGGGCTCGGCTCATAAAACAATCCAGTTTATGGAGTTAATAAAGAATGCAGGGGCAGGTCACGATATTTTGGTATGTGGCAAATTTCCAAGATAACGCATTTGGATTTAAGTTTATTACGGTCTTGTTCTTATTTGCTGTTTTTTTATAGCAAGATCTGGCAACACTAATGAGTCAAATTGCACCTGGTTCACTGTGATTTCTTGCACCACGCATGCAGAAAAGAGACACAACTCTTATACGCATTTAAATAAGTCATTAACAACAGTTCGGTTCAATACACACATAATTTCTGCAAATGCGTTTGTCACTACTTGCATTTTTGCAGTCGTCACTCCTGTAAATTACTGAAGTGTGTGTACAGAACAGGAAAAGGTGAACTGACAACCAATTTTTAGCTGCAGTGTGTACATGGCCTTTGTAACATTTTTTGTAACTTCTGAACGGTAGCGTAAATAGGGTCAAATTGTATTTTTAGATCCAACCACACTGAAATGGATCACAACATCAAACAGTGAAACGTGTACTCACAAGTGGTTGGCTTGTTGCAGTTGTGTCCATGTCGAAAGTACTGCGGGTTCTCGATGACAGGAATGCGACTCATGCCGATTACGACGGCGTCCGGTCCCGCGTCGAGAGAGCAGTGTGTGACGATACCATGGTTGACATGATGAAGAGGGCTTGCAGAGTCTTCCTCACCGCTGATGACTGCCACTGGGCCTGTAGAGCAAGCACAAAATAATGATAAACGTACAACCAGAGTGAATGTTATTTAGAAGCATTGAAAAAAACAAAGATGTTCTACCACAACATGGCTTTGATCCAAATGTAAATGTTGATTACTATCTTTGTAAAGAGCCAAAGGAGACATTATACTTTAAACACCAGCTAAACAGGATGACTTAACAACCATCGGCTCATTTCACAACATAAAACCTTCACAAGACTACAAAGACGACAAAAATGCTTTCATCAAGTTTACTTATTTATTCATTGTGAAATTGACAGTGGTTTAAAATCATCAAAATTTGCCACCTGAGGGAGAGCCATAGAGCTGAATTGAAGAATTGGGAAGGAAGGGTGGTGTTACCGCTGGTAAACATATCATTTTCAACAAGCCCACCTCAAAACAGGACTCTTCAAAACAGTCGTTTGTTCACAAGCACACTCAGGGGACCGGTTTAAACATGGCCAACCAAGCAAATCATCAACACAGAGGGACTGAAGTACTGAATGTTGTTTTTTTGTCTCCTCAAATGTCTAAAACCTGTTTGTAATAGTTCAGACCTGGACAGATATCTGTAAACCCAGCTAATGAGCATCATTCTCATTCCAAGCTGAGCTCTTGTCAGCTAATGCTTGATGTGAAATTCTGTTTTCCTAATGTGAAAATGAATCCCATTTGTCTGAATACCCAGATTTTCTAATGAAAATCTCTAGCTCTGTTTCAAAACCTAGTGAGCTGCCTTGCTGTCTACAGAGTGCTGCAGGAATGAGTCCTAAAATTTCTGGTTCTATCATCCTGATGTCAGTGGGTTTTTCGAATAGGTTTTTGGTTAGATGTCTGAAATAAGCTCATGGTATTTTCATGTTTTATTCTACAACATGAATATATCAACTTGTGACTTACGCTTTTACGTTGCTTAAAAATGAAATTGAACTACACAGCTTGTTGGGGACTATAAATGTCATCACGGCGAACAGGTAAATTCATATAATTCTGATCTTACAGCCTTGCTATGTTTATAATTGAGCTCTAGCAAACTATTTCAACTCAAACTTTATAACTTGTAGATTTTAAATTCAGATTGAAAGACTTTGAAAGAGCTTGGCGGTGGTGACACTGAAGTCATTTATCTGTAGTAGATTATAGCTTTAGCCTGTTACTTCTGGTGATTGTATTTAGGCTTCAAAATTCATGAAAGTTGTGTTAATTTGAGAAGATTATCTTGTTGAACAAAATGTGTAAGTATCATACACTATACATATAAAAAAAAAAAAACTGAAAATTAAGGTAAAATACAAGCAGCTGTGGTTGCAAGAAATTTACAATAAAAAATATTGTAGCAACATTGTATGTTTTACAGATTTAACTAAAATTTACTGTAAAAAAAGGTATCTCATTAACTGATATACTGAAGTATTAAAAACTGTTTTGCACACTGACAACCACCAAAAACAGGTGGTGATGAGAAAGTCACATGATGAATCAAAGCTCATCACAAGCAGCTTTTCCACAAGCTGAGGTAAATAGTAATATATAAAAGGTGCACAGTGTCATTCACACAGATACTAAACACCATTATGGTAACATGCAGGACACTACAATAATGCATTAAACAATAATTAACAAGATTAGATGTAAGATAAAAAAGCCCTAATGTACATAAGTGATCAGAAAAACTAAGCAGCATAGTTGAAGTGTCACACAGGGAATTCTGAGAGTGTCAATTTATAGTTTTTCCACTGTAAATTACACAATAAATGGTTCTTGTTTACTTTCAAAAACTGTGAATTTAACAGTATTTTACTGTATAATTACATTAAATGTAAGGTTAGATCTATTACAGTTATATAGGTTTTTACCATTAAACCATACCATTTTTACAGTCTTTTACCTTTAAAATCATGATCATTTTTTACAGTGTACACCTTTATGTTTTTTTTTATTATTTATTTAATAATCCAAAAACAAATAGAAAAATCCTATTGGATTTTGTTGAAGGAAATCAGTGTGAAGCTTCTGGTTTGTCATCCTTGCAGCCCTTTACACACACACACACACAAGAAATACTGGGTAAAATATTCACTTTTTAATAAGATTAAATATATATTTATATTCCACATTTATGTCCACAAGCCATCTTGGACTATTTTAAATTAGCTAGTCAAGATCCATTTTGGTTTTGCTCCCTCAGTGAAGGATACACATCATGCAAATTGGCCAAATGAGGAGATCTTAAAAGACCGCTTAAGTCTTTGTGCCCCATGATGCTTTCAAATGCTGTCTAGGTAGGCAGCTCACTAGGTGAGTTTGTCACATCCTGTGAATTTCAAAGGCTATAACATCAGAAATAATAGTTTTTCATCAAATCAATAAATCTCACCAACTCTTGTGCCAGTAGCAGTTGAAGAGACCTGAAAATGTTTTTTTTTTTTTCTCTCACCTTGACTGTCTCAGGGTTATGGAGCATTGCCCAGACTTGCTAGGTGTAGCCCCCGCAAATACAACCCTAGGTGCAAGGTGTGTGAAGTCTTGCCATAACAGCAGAGCTGCAGACAAGACGCAAACACCAGACTGAAAGTGACGTGCACAAGTGACATGGCTTATTTATTTGTATTGCGTGTTGAATTTATTAGGCTTTGAATAAGGCATAAGGTTTTAGCTGTAGCCATGTATTTAAATTGCATGTCTGACCACAACAGTAATGTGTATTCTGGATAAGAGCATCTACTAAAGGTCTCAAATGTGAATGTACTTGAATGTCAGATTGAAGAAGTTTTGCAATCTTCTGCAATTATCTGAACTGGTGAAGCCTCTGCTCAGTAGCTCATGTGGTGACAGAACACGTAGGTAAAAGTAAACACACCTCATGTACAGAACCACATGTCTTTTGAGTTTGACATTTAGGGTCCTAGTGAGAAATGATGCTTGTTGGCACAAAGTAAATCTGAGAGTTCGATATTAAACATTTGAGTGTAAGTCTTGGTGTTCCCAGTCGAATCTCACTCTGAGGGAGTGTCTGAATATCGGCCGTTATTGATGATCCTTCACGTAGTAGGCTATAGGAAATTTATGACTCCTCCATTGGGCCGATCATTTCTTTTGTTTATGATTGTATAAAAAGAGAAAAGCAGGAGAATATTTTATTCTACAAGAAAGCTAAACCTACCATATGCATCATACAAGCTTAGTTTGTCTTTAGCCACTGATGTTAATGGGCTGTTTCTCACGAAAAGCCAAGGTAATTTTACCCTGAAAAATAAATAGGCAAATGTATTTAAATATTTATTTAATATTGCATTAAGAGAGGCATATTTTAAGAGCATTTAAGATTTGAATGACATTATTTTCATAACAAATTAGCACATTTACCCTCAACATATTAAATAAATCTGGATCAAAACTCATTACAATCAAAGTGGTAATTCTGATTTGATTCTCATTACTACTCAGAATAAAATTAGCATAAATTAAAACAGATATAACAAATACCATGAATACTACATACTGTACAATATTGAGGTATATTTTTTTAAGAGTAATGATTGAATATTAATGGGAATATGCAATTGAATATTATAGAAATGGAAAAAATTTGCTCAATTGTCACAAAAATGAAAAAAGAAGAAGAAGAAGAAATGCTTAATTTTATCAAGCAAATTATACTTTATCTCTTTCTTTGATTTTGGTGTTAAATATGACCTGGACATGTTTGTAACAGTTAGATACTTATATGTATTAATCATTTGTTATGCAAAAAAAAAAAAGTAATGTAAAATGTAAAAAATGTGTTTGTCATTGTACAACCACATCAGGTCGCAAACAATATGTCAATATGTTACAAAGGTAAATAAAAATAATCAAACTCAATAGTCGAGAACATTCTGCAACTGTATTGAACAGACTAAAAACAGAAACGTAGTGGACATGTGACTAACTTAACAAGGAAAAACTACAACTCTTGTAATTCATAATGTTACCAAGGCTTCATGAACATTAGAAAAGCTAAGCAAGCACTATACAAGCATTGGCACAGCTTGATTCCTAGTCTACACTAGCACATATTCTCCTGAACAGAACTGCAATGAAAAAATAAAGAGCTGCTTTCATCAGTCAGACTCCAACCATTTAAACCGAGGGAGGTGTGATCAAAATTGATACGGTTGCATCATCCTGGGCAGTCGGTGGTGGCCCACGATTGAGCAGGGGCCAATAAATATTTACCTTTTATTACAGAGTCGCAGGGAGCGCACAGAAACATGTGATCATTCAGATTCTGACAGTAAGACTGCTATCGATCAGGCTACTGCGCGGCCCCATGACTTCACTGATCCAACAGTGCAAAGAAAACTCAACGAGCTACATTCAAAACCCACAGCAGCAGGCTAAGACGCAGAGAAAATAGATTTGGACTCTTTAGTGCTAGCACAACACTTCATACTGAACTCAAATGAGAGGAAGCTATGTAGAATAAAGATTACAAACATATTCATTCTATTTACTGCAAATGATCTGACAAAGCAAAGTGTTTAAGGTTGTATGGATATCTATGGATGCTATGAAAAAATTGACTCACAATTGACGTTTTTTCTTACAATTCTGAGACATACGAACTCAAAATTGTGAGATATAAACTCAGAATTATTGTTTTTTTTCTTACAATTCAGTTACATGTCCCAATTCTGGGTTTTTATCTCGCAATTCAGTTTTTTTTCTCAGAATCGTGACTTTTTATCTTGCAATTCTGATTTTTTTTCTCCAAGTTGTGAGTTTGTCTCGCAATTTCTCTGAATTCTGATTTTTATATCACAAAAAAGTATGAATTGATATCAACTCAAAAATGCAACTCAAAAGTTTGAACTGTGAGAAGAAAAGTCGCAATTACCTTTTTATTATTATTATTATTATTATTTAACCTGTAGAACCTGTAGTGGAAACAAGCTTCCATATATATCTGTTGTGTGAATTATTATTATTATTATTATTATTATTATTA